GCAAACCTCCTCAAAATTTGTTGTATACTCAGATATCAGAATGTCTGTAAAGGTGCTCGTACTCTTTCTAAATGATATCAAAATTGCCCTATGCAGGTACAATCTTCTCATTTTATAGATATCAACGTCAGAATGACGATAACAGAAAGTATTGAGACATTCAATGCAGTTAACCCTGTAACGATATACATATAGCAGGCTTATTTATACGTAAGAGAGCTACCATTTGACTTTAATTGGGGGAAAAAGGGGGGAGGATGAAAAATGTTGTCCTGCATTTTTTTTTTTATTGTAATCTCTGTCCTGCATTTTTCTTTTTGTTTCCCCCCCCCCCCCCCCCCCCCCCCCCCCCCCCCCCCCCCCCCCCCCCCCCTCCCCTAAAAATGAAATGGAAGCTTCCTTATAATATTAACGTAACGTCACACTGTCTGGTACATGTAGCAATCTTTTTTCTCTAATTCTTCGTCAATTTATCCCTTTCTGTACCCATTGTATAAAAAAAAAAATTAATCAACGTGTGGTTCGTTTGATCTCAGTTCTTCATTGGCTAAAATCCGATTATGACGTCGAGTTTTCTTGCTTTCCTCTGAATTTCCTATTGTGACGGCATGAAAAATTATAATATAGAGTAAATAGATATAAACGAAGTACAAAGTTGGGAATAATATCAAATAGATAATTTGTATATAAATGAACTTGTCCACATTTCTATGACGTCACATAGAAATGTGGACAAGTTCATTTATATACAAATTATCTATTTGATATTATTCCCAACTTTGTACTTCGTTTATATCTATTTACTCTATATTATAATGATCTTACTATATTGAACCATATAATACAAATATATGTTCAATATAGTAAGATCATTATAATATCTTTTTGCAGATCATTCGAAAAGAAGGAATAAATTTGCCTGCGTATTTGTTTGAAAATCATTAGAGAAACAGATTCCACCACCAAATCTCGTGTAATACGATATTTATCCACTCTCGACAGTTAAATTTTAAATATTTAAAACGCTCGGCGAGCCTCGCGTTTTAAATTTGAAAATTTAACTGTCTCGAGTGGATAAATATTGTATCACACTCGATGCAGTGGTAGAATCTATATGTATCAACGATTTATCTATTTACAGGAAAGGAAAAGAACTTCTACCCAAGACATGATACATTTACAGGAAAGGAAAAGAAGACTTCTACTCAAGGCATGATATATTTACAGGAAAGGAAAAGAAGACTTCTACTCAAGGCATGATATATTTACAGGAAAGGAAAAGAAGACTTCAACTTAAGGCATGATCTATAACTGCTGTATAAAGACACCAAATAAAGGACAGAGCTTATTTTCTTTTTAATCTGTATGGTTTGAATTATAATATTTGCTGTAAATGTTAAACAGTTGAAATTAAAACCACATTCTGCAAGATTATAAACTCACTTCAAATGTGTAAATTTTTTTCATGGTCTCCCATAGGGTGTAATTTTTTCCAAACAGGCTGGGAAATTCACCAGATTATATTGATTGATTGATTGATTTGTTGGTGTTTAACGCCACTTTCAACACTATTTATTGTGCTATTTCGTTGCGGTCATTTTTTATTGATGGGGGAAGCCGGATTGCCCGAAGAAAACCACGAACCTTCGATAGGAAAACTGACAATCATGGGCCTAGTCAATTAAGATTGGAGTCGAGCGCACCTTGCACGAGCGGAATTCGAATTCATAATCTCAGCGTTGACTGGCTAGTGATACAGTAGTTGGACTACTTGTAGCACTTGGCCATCGAGGCCCCGACAGATTAAAACATACGAGTTAATTTATAGCTATTCATAAATAAGGGGATCGGGTATGATTGTCAATGAGACATCTATTCCTCAAAGATCATTTTAAGTGGTTTTTATACGACCGCAAAAAAATTTTGGTGGTCGTATATTGGTATGACGTTGGCGTCGTCGTCGTCGTTGTCGTTGTCGTCGTCGTCCGGCGTCGTCCTGCTTCGTCCGAAGACACATTGGTTTTCGCACTCTAACTTTAGTTTAAGTGAATGGATCTCTATGAAATTTCACCACAAGGTTCAATACCACAAAAGGAAGGTTGAGATTGATTTTGGGGGTTATGGTACCAACAGTAAAGGAATTAGGGGCCAAAAAGGGGCCAAAAATAAGCATTTTTGTAACTTCCAGACATAACTTGTGTGTTAGTGTATGGATCTCTCTGACATTGTACCACAAGGTTCCATATCACAAAAGGAATGCTGGGATTGACTTTGGGGGTAATTGCCTCAAAATTTTAGGAATTAGAGGCCAAAAAAGGGGCAAAAAACAAGCATTTTTCTAGTTTCATGACAATAAATTGTGTGTAAGTGTATGGATCTTTCTGAAATTGTACTACAAGGTTCCATATCACAAAAGGAAAGCTGGAATTGAGTTTGGGGGTAATTGCCGAAACGTTTAGGAATTGGGGGCCAAAAAGGGGCCAAAAATAAGCATTTTTTAAGTTTCCAGACAATAACTTATGTTCAAGTGTATGGATCTCTCTGAAATTGTACTGCTAGGTTCCATACCACAAAGGGAAGGCTGGGATTGATGATGGGGGTAATTGCCTCAATATTTTAGGAATTAGGGGCCACAAAGGGGCAAAAAACAAGCATTTTTCTAGTTTCAGGACAATAACTTGTGTGTAAGTGTATGGATCTTTCTGAAATTGTACTACAAGGTTCCATATCACAAAGGGAAAGCTAGGTTTGAGTTTTGGGGTAATTGCCCTAAATGTTTAGGAATTTGGGGCCAAAAAGGGGCCAAAAAACACATTTTTCTAGTTTCCAGACAATAACTTGTGTTCAAGTGTATGGATCTCTCTGAAATTGTACTGCAAGGTACCATACCACAAAGGGAAGGCTGGGATTGAGTTTGGGGGTGATGAATCATAAGGGGGTTCAAAAAATTTGGGGGGGGATTTTTTTTTTTTTTCATTTTTTTTTCTTTTAAAATTTTTCATTTTAAGTTGGTTATTTCTGATTTATATTTAAAAGCAAATAATAATGATATGGTAGGAGATACACACCAAACAGGATGTGTAAATTATTATATTATAAGTATTGTGCAATAGCAAGAAATTTTCAATTGCACAGTATTGCACAATAGCAAGAAATCTTCAATTGCACAGTATTGCGCAATAGCAAGACATCTTCAATTGCACAGTATTGCGCAATAGCAAGGAATGTCCAATAGCACAATATTGCGCAATAGCAAGATATTGTCAATTGTACAGTATTGCGCAATAGCAAGAAATATTTAATTGCACAGTATTGTGCAAAAGAAGATACTTCATATAAATTGCTTATTTCTTGACCAATTTCAGTGGGGTTTTATTCTTGAGTTCTTGGGGTTCTTTAATATGCTGAATCTAACCTTGTATTTAGTTTTTGGATTTTGGGCCCCGTTTTTAAATTGGTCCACATTGAGGTCCAAAGGGTCCAAAATTAAACTTTGTTTGATTTCATCAAGAATTGAATTATTGGGATTCTTTGATTTGCCGAATCTAACCGTGTATTTAGATTCTTAATTTTTGGTTCCGTTTTCAAATTGGTCTACATTAAGGTCCAAAGGGTCCAAAATTAAACTTAGTTTGATTTTAACAAAAATTGAATTCTTAGGGTTCTTTGATATGCTGAATCTAACCATGTATTTAGATTTTTGATTATGGGCCCAGTTTGCAAGTTGGTCCAAATCGGGGTCCAAAATTAAACTTTGTTTGATTTCAACAAAAATTGAATATATGGGGTTCTTTGATATGCTGAATCTAACCATGTATTTAGATTTTTGACTTTTGGGCCCCGTTATCAACTTTGTCCACATTGAGGTCAAAAGGGTCCAAAATTAAACTTTGTTTGATTTCATCAAAAATTGAATTCTTGGGGTTCTTTGATATGCTGAATCTAACCATGTATTTAGATTTTGGATATTGGACCATAATAGCTATAGGTGAATGTCCAATTTAAAAATTTTAAGTTCTTAGACCACATTCATTCTGTGTCAGAAACCTATGCTGTGTCAAATATTTAATCACAATCCAAATGCAAAGCTGTATCAAGCTTGAATGTTGTGTCCATACTTGCCCCAACTGTTCAGGATTCAACCTCTGCGGTCGTATCAAGCTGCGCCCTGCGGAGCATTTTATTAACAATTAATGGCAACCTTACGGCTTTCAACATGAGAAAAACCATACTGTTTAGTCGCCTATTAAAGGCCCCGATATACATGATTACAGTTACACAAGAGTTTGTGAGGAAATTAGCCCATTTCCTATACTGTATCATCTCTATCTCTGATGTTTGTTGTTTAATTTATCAGTGTGAATGTTTCCCCAGCCAATGATTTCTTTCAATTGTGTTATCTGCTGCTGAAAATGTTTCACATTCACAACAGTGACTTTTTTCTATTCTTACAGTATCTGTTAGACGACATATTTCTCGCTGTTGTATACAACAGAATGTGCAATCATTGTGCAATGCATGAGTATTTTCTTCAAGCCTGTGAACTTATTTTGGTTATCATCTCTGTGGGAATAATTCCCCAGTCTATAGAAAACTATTTGGTTAAAATCTTTGTGAAGAAATTTCCCCAGTCTAAATATTTTTTTTGGTTATCAACTGTGTAAGGAAATTTCCCCATTCTATTGATTTCGGTATCGTTCCCATCTTTTTTGGGAAATTTCCCCAGTCTATTGATTTATTTTTGATTATGAAATTTTAGTGATTTCGTTTTCGTTATCATCTTTTTTGGGAAATTTCCCCAGACTTTTGATTTCTTTTTGGTAATCAACTTTGTAGGGAAATTTCCCCATTTTAGTGATTTCGTTTTCGTTATCATCTTTTTAGGGAAATTTCCCCATTCTATTGATTTCTTGTTGGTTATCATCTTTTTGGGGAGATTTCCCCATTCTATTGACTTCTTGTTGGTTATCGTCTTTTTGGGAAAATTTCCCCATTCTATTGATTTCTTGTTGGTTATCATCTTTTTGGGGAGATTTCCCCATTCTATTGACTTCTTGTTGGTTATCGTCTTTTTTGGGGAAATTTTACCATTCTATTGATTTCTTTTTAGTTTTCATCGTTTTGGGGAGATTTTATCATTCTATTGATTTCTTTTTCGTAAACATCGTTTTAGGGAAACTTCCCCATTCTATTGATTTGTTGTTGGTCATCATCTTTTTGGGGAAATTTCCCAAATTATTGATATCTGATTGGTTATCAACTTTATGGGGAAATTTCCCCAATACTTGTTAACAAATAATTTCTGCGTTTCTTGTATATGTAAAGTAATACGTGTTTATTTCTTGAGATTGTTCTCCAAGTTTTGTTGTGTAGTGTTATTGGATACCATCATCAAATATATTTGTTACAATCATGCCAGTTAAATGTTTGTTGGAATACTTTGTTCACACAAATAGAAAACATTGAAAAAAGAGAATAAAATAGAAATTCTCTTTTTCAAATAGATTGCGTTATACATAACATAAAAGAAATAGTTGTTTGTACCTATATGGTACTGCATTATCATGATTATGTCTTTGCACAATGTCATGTTTTTCTCAGATTGTCTATGCGGTCTTTCACTATATCCATTGTAGGTACACTGACAGAGATTTAAATATGGCCGCACAATGCCCTTTAGTTTATTACATACTCGTTCTTTGGTCTCAGGGAGATAATTTTCTATTCATCAAAGTATATTATATGCAAAAATGCAGCATTGCTGGGCTGCAATGATAGAAAAAAATAACAGAAACCTATAACATCGTTTGTATTATTTAGAAAATAGATGTTGGAGGCATATTCAAAGGTTTGTTAATGTCTTTAACTACAGCAGTCCAGAATAAATACTCCCCAAACCCTTCCTTATATGATAAATAAGGCGTTGTGTCGAGTAATGTCTTTAGTGGAGTAATCATGTGTTTCGAATCAATCTGTTGGTACATAACTAATACCAAAACCTCTTTTCCCTGTCGGCGCCTCCGCTCTTGTACAATGTCAATCTCCCATTGACACCATTCACTTTTAGCAAAATTATTAGACAAAACAACTATGATCTTCCAACTTTTCGCCATATATTTTCCAATATTGTTAAGGATTGGCTCTCCGACATCAAAATCCCTATGATGTACACAAATATTAAGGTTAGAATTTTCTAGATGTTTTAACAGAACGCCATGGACCCATAGGCGATCGGCATCGCAATAAACAACGAACGCGTCAAACTCGTAATCATCTGACGATTCAAGACTAAAGTACCCACGTTTCATACGTTGCTTTAAACGAAATAAGTACAGCGCATTCTTAAAATTTATCTGACATTGGAACGTCATTATGACAAAGAAAAGCAAAATCAAAACAGACGAACATGCAGTTATTATTATCAAATAGACAATGTTTAATGAATTACACTCTGCAATCGTTGGAAAGTAATCTGCAAGACGGGTTAATCGTAGATGTTCCGGATAGTAGCAAGTATAACGACTCGGCCAATTCTTCTGCATTTTTGTTGAAAAATTCGTTGATCGAATTCTGTCCAAAAACCATTTTATTTCACACGTACATCGATATTGATTCCCGGACAATTCTAGTACTTCTAAAGATTTTAATAAATTTGATGGAAACGACGTTTCGTTAATAACGTGAATATTGTTTCCATCAAGATACAATTCACGCATGGACGGCAAATTATCGAAGAGTGATTCGCTCCACCGTTCTATTTCATTTCCTTCTAAATTCAACGATTTGATGTGAGACATATTTCGGAACAATTCATCTGGAATCGTCGTTATATCTGACGAAACTAAAGTAAGTTTTTGGATATTCTGTGTAGACGCAAATAGTTCTCGTAATATTGAAAAGTTATTTAAATGGTTGTGAGATAAATCCAACTCTGTTAAATTTGGTATAGTTTGAAAAATTGTTTGTGGATTGAATCGTTTTTCCTTAATTTTTTTCTCACTAAATCGAAAATTATTCCGGTACAAATGAAGCTTCTGTAATGACGAACTGTTAAATGCGAACGGAGCAATGTCTTTCAACTGCTGATTATCCCCTATGATAAGTTTCGTCAAGCTATGTAGTAATGCGAGGACATTATTATCCAGGCTTCGAAAACGATTCCCATCCAAATTTAAAGACTCTAAATTATCCAGGCATTTAAAAGATTCTTTGGAAATTTTCCTTATAGCATTGTATGCAAGTGACAACTTTTTCAGTTTCGGAACAAACGTTTCATCGCTGTTATTACAAAAATTAGGTATTGCATAAATATTATTATTTGATAAATCCAGAAACCCAGTTGTCATAAGACCGTTTAAATCTACATTCACAATTTCGTTTTCCTCAACATGTAATTTCTTTAGGTTTGCTATTGGTAGAAATATACTTGAATTTAGTTTGTGTAATAAATTTTTTCTAAGTGACAGAGCGATATTAGCTCCTACCAAATGATAAAACATGTCATCCGGAAGTCCATACCAATCGTTTTTCTCTAAATACAACCTTTGAATGGTCCTAATAGTCAAACTCTGGAACGAAAATTTCAACGATGTTATGTTTAATAGCTTCTCAGTTGTTATTCTTAGCTCGGCAATATATTCAAAATCATCAAACACATCATCTTGAATTATCTCAATTGAGTTATTCTCAAACCATAATGTCTTGAGGTTGACTGAAGAAACATTCCTAAAACTACTCTGATTGATCACCGTAAGAATGTTATTTTTCAATATTAATTTAGTAATGCTACAGTTTAGTGGCAGCTTCGGGATGTAATGCAAATAGCAGCAGATTGCTTCTGCTTTTTCACACTTGCATTCAATATTTTTTCCACATTGTATTTTTTTCGCACAACAGAAGTCATTACATCCAACGGCAAAACAAAGTAAAATGAAAACACAATTTAACTTTAAATTCGACATTTTTTACACTACAAAGTGCTTTATAACAATGGAAAGGACACCGAAACCAAAAAAAGTACTTCCCGGTACATTATTATTTGAAAAACTTCCTTGATACTTCAGTTTTTTATATATTCGTACCTATGATAGTTGATCATTTCATCATTACGAGCATGTTTCAACTTTTTTCAATACTTGGTGACCTTCTATATCATGGCTACATATAAATTTGAATATTCTTTTGAAGTCTTTTAACACTGAAATTCTATCATCAAGCTCAAGCAATGCATGTTTATACATACTTCTTCGGTTTGCAAAAAAAGCTCTTTGATTCCAAAAATTTCTAAATTGGCAAAAAGTATATTTCTTTGTTTCAAAACTGTTGAAGGGCTTTGTGACCTCGCCTATCACAAGCCCAGTCTCTAAACCTCATATAAAAAGATGAGCTTCTTACATTGACATTATATTGTAAATGTATGCGTGTGAATGTTTTGCATTCAAATCGGACTTTAACTTCTTGCATTTACTTGAATTGAAGGATACTATTAATGAGCATAATATATATACTTGACTGATAGAGTAAAACTATAATTATCGATATTTCAGTACGGTCATATAGGAAGTTGATGATCATAGTTTTATATAAAAGGTGTCCAAATGTTACTGATTTTATTTTGGCTAGACATGTTTTGTATAAGGAAATTGAGTTAACCTTTGCTTACAGAAAATTAGAATATTGTATATTTCTCACGGAAGTCAATAAAATAACATTATTCAATTTAAAGTGTAATGTAAATAGTCACCATCAGAAAAAAAAAAAACTGGTTGAACACTAGATATGACCCTATTTATGGAAATTTTCTCTCATATTTATAATTTATTATTTATTGGAAAAAAAACACCTTTAAACACTGATGCCGAAGTCCCTTGGATGCATTTATCAACAAGTGATAAATGTTCCCTCGTCGTTCGAATTTTAAGTATTTCTAATGTTAATTCAATTGGACATAAACAAGATAAACAAAAATAACATTGATAGATCGCAATATCTTATTATTTTATTTTGCGATACGACTTTTTATTCAATTGTGTAGACTTAATTCTACCATTCAAAAAATATATAGGTACATAGAATGAATAAACGTAGCAGCAACAGTAGACAAATCTAAACAATTTTGTTTCGACGTTGGGAGAACTTCTGACACTGTTACATTCAAATACCGAACTAAATAAAACACCATAAAACAAAACCCGTACAAACACTAAAATTGTCCCCCTTGCACCGAACATCAAACTTTATAATAAGTAAGTACTGTTGTGGATAGATATAGGAAGATGTGGTACGTTGCCAATGAGACAACTCTCCATCCAAGTTACAATTTATAAAAGTAAACCATTATAGGTCAAGGTACGGCCTTCAACACGGAGCATTGGCTCACACCGAACAGCAAACTATAAAGGGCCCCAAACATTACTAGTGTAAAACCATTCAAACGGGAAAACCAACGGTCTAATCTATATAAAAACGAGAAACGAGAACCACGTATGAACTACATAAACAGACGACAACTACTGTACATCAGATTTCTGACTTAGGACAGGTGCAAACATTTGCAGCGGGATTAAACGTTTTAATGGTACCAAACCTTCTCCCTTTTTCTGAAACAATAGTATAACATCACAACATAGAAAGACACACTATAAAATATCAATTGGAAGGATTAACTCAATCAAAAAACGTAAATTAACACACAATGAACGAATAAATTTGGAACTATTTATTAAATAAGTCATACAAATATCAGACGGGGAAACCCGAATTTTAAACGAAATGATTACAATTGAAAATGGAAACGACGAATGCGTCAGAGAGACAACAACCCGCCTAGAGAGCAGAAAACAACCCAAGATCACCAATTGATCTTCAACACAGCGAGAAAATCCTGCACCTGCAGGCCGGTCTCTGAAAATAATAATGTATACTAGTTCAGCGAAAATGGAAACAAGTGAAAACTATTTATCATTGGTCAACGGTATTTTTGCAAATTGAAACGCAAGTTATTTTGAGGAAATAAAATGCAAATTATGAAAACAATAAGATATATCATATGCTCATGGTCTAGAACATTTAAAAACAATATATATACATACCTTTGACCCATCTAGTAAAACAAATTGTACAGAGAAAATTGTTCCCACATATTTGTTCTAGTTTCAGACTCTTTCTTGTGTTACATGTTTCTGCAAGGTTTACTCACAGTTCTGTCGATAAGAAAAATAGTTTTACCATTATCAAATAGAAAATCTATCCCAAGTGAATATTGGGCATAATGAAATTAAAGTTTTGCACCATATGTATAATCTCTGCAAAAATAACGTACTTCCAGAACTCAGAGAGCTGAATTAAAATTAGGAAGATATGTATCTACTACATACACAATTACAGTTCTTCAATAAATCACCAATAGCTGACCAACACATCAGTGGGAAGAGTAACTCATCTGTTGATCAAAGCGTGAGTGGTACAATGATCCCAACAGAAAAGATAATGTCTCAAGACCAGACACCTTACTCACAGTCAGTAGAATCATCTCAGTCTCAGGAGTTGTGTACTTCGACTGAATACACTGATAGTCAAAAGTCTGTGATTTCATTATCTACCACCTCTATATCCCAAACAAACAGTCAGACATCAGTCATCCCTTTATCAACAGAATAATCTGAAGATTACATGTGTAACAACGTCAGTACAGAACCTTTAGATTCAGATACAAGGCGAAGCACAGCTAACACTCCAAATCAGTTCATTGATCTCGGAAATTTTTATCCGTCTGTTGTAAGATATTGCCAAGGACTTACTGTTCTTACTGGAAATTCCAATAAAACATCATCCACGGTGACTGATATTCAGATCTTAATGACTGACGGCTGTGATAAACGTTTATTATCAGAAAATATGCTTCAATCTTTTAATAATCCGAAGACTTTACTTGAATCTGGGGGAAATCAACCTTCTTATGTCCTGTTAAAGTCAAACAAGGTTATATGTATCCTGGTTGACAAAATAGAGCCTGGGCAATACATTCTAAAAAAATTTGGTAAAAAGGTCAAGGTCATGCACGAGAAGGTTGTTACTGACAAAGATTTGAAAAATGTTACTGTAAGTAAAGCAACTGTTCCGAAGTTCAATGGATCTGTTACCGATGATAATCAGAGAGAGTCACAAATTTTGATATTGGGATCATTTCACAAGCAACCACTGAAACTTAAAATGATATCCACACATCTGTCATTAACAACAAAACTTGCATTCCTTGACCAATTCGAAACACAGACACTACTTGAACAGACAAGTCCTGCAAAACATGACCAAATATTTCTACAGATGATCAGCAACGTTGTAAACAAATGAAAACGGTCAGAACAAAGAAAAGCAGAAAGCAGAAACTTAAATCTGACACTAATAAAAAAGATGATGAATTTGAAAATGATTTTAACGAACCATTGAAAAAGAAACCTAAATTCCAACTGAGGATTGTTCTAAAGAATAAAGGAAATAGTCAGAAGAAATTTAAAACTAAACTAAACCAGGACACTTAGTGATATACATGGGCGTTAACAAGTTAGTGCTAATAGGCAAGAATTGACTTCGCTTGGAAAAGAGCAGAAGGAATATAAAAAACTCTTGTCTCTGATGAAGTAATGCTATTATCAACAATATGACTCATGTGATATTTCTTTTTTTTTCTATTATTTCTGATATCTTTTCTGCGCAATTTATATCTAACTAATTTTGTGACATTAACGTTATTGATATATTTAAAAGTTTTAAATACAGTATCCATCAATAGTGATTTTGCTGATAAAAAGGATCTGGATTGAGGTACTGGGTTGAAGTGGTGGGATGTCTTCATTTCTGTATTTTTTGTTTTTATATGGCATGTACTCTATTCTTTTATTCGTTTACTTATAATTCAGTTTTCTTTAGATTTCACCATCTCACTATGCTCTATTTTCTAAATTTCTTATGCCCATTTTCTCTATTCTGTTAGTCCTCGTCTATATTCTCAGTAAATTGTATCACAAATGTATTACATGTTGATGCCATTATAAATTGGTTCTTTTCTTTATTCTTTTGCCAATTTTTCTCTTTTCTGTAAATCCTCGTCTATACTCTCAGTAAATTGTGGCACAAATGTTTTACATGTTGATGCAATTAGATATTGGTTCTTTACTGATTAAGAAGTATGGTACCTTGAACTTCTTTTCAGTTTTAAATGATATTATACAGAACAAAAGTCGTCTATTCAAATGAAAATTGATATTCCAATAAGAGGATGTATTCATTTATGAGTTAATGTTTGTTTATCAACCATCGTCATGGAGACTAGGAGATAAAACTTTATTTTGTGCACATAGTTCAAGTGTGATTTGTATTTATCTTCAGCTTAATATATCTTAAAAATTCTTTGAAATATGCTGCTTTTATTATAAATTTTTGACATCCTTCTTTCGTATGACTATCTCGTTTGACAACAATTTTAATAACTTTGCTTACAAACAAACAAAACCGATCTGATCAGAATCCCTTATAATTCAAAGGTGTTAGATATGAATAGACAAGAATCAGTTAACACATTTGTTTACCTGTGAAATGTCCATTATATTAGGTATGATAGTTTCAAGACTTTAATATAAACAGTTTTCAGATTGATGCACGGTTTAGTTTAAATATGTAATTAAGAGATATCAGATCAATGTCTGTTGAAAGAATTGGAACAATTCTAACAATATATGGGTTGCATTGAAAATTGGTACAAACTGTCCCGAGTGCATTGATATATTATTGTCAGTGCCATATTTCTTCTAAGAGAGACAATTTTTACCAGCATTCATACAATAAGTCTTTTATTTTATAGCTTGAGAAAAATATTTTTGTCACCAACGAAGTCACCAATTTGAAACTTTATTTTGCACTTGTGATACAATATGATATATTATCGTACACTTACTTTTGGTCAT